GGAGAGTGACAGATACCCACGTGCTCATTAATATGAAAAACTGGAACCCAGTCAAAGTTCATTGTTAAATTAGGTCTGTTTATGGTAGCGAATGCTCTCAACGACATAGAATGCAGCACAAATCAAAATAAGCCCTGAAGATCACATACACTGTTAGAATGTTCCAGCAGCATACCAGTGCATGCAGCGTGAAATGGGAATGCTAGTACAATGTGGAAAATTCATCCAGCTGTCACTGAAGATTTTTTTAACTAGAAAAAAAAATACAATAGAAATTTTGAATATTTGCTTACACCTCTTTTTAAAAATCCTATGAGGAAAGGACTCGAAAGCTAATAACTTGCTGCTGTGTTTCTCTTCATCTCACCAGCTATTCTTCTGCACGCCTAGCGCTGCATTAGGCAATGAGAGTAGATCAATCAGTAAGACCGTGCCCGTCACACCTGCATGTGAGATGGGCATCGTCACCATCACGTTGACTTTTATAGATGCTTTGGAGTGTGCTGATGCCTTCCTACAGCAATTTCTCACATTAATCCTCACAGCAACCTTCTAAGGATAGTTGCTTGCTTATTTATGTATGTATGCATGTATTTCAGATAGGTGCTATTTTAAATCCTCATTCTACAGATGTGAAAACTGAGTCACAAAGAAATGAGCATGATTGATTGTGTTTGGGGGCTCCATAGGGAAGGGGTATTCCTGTCAGGATCTTGGAGATGAGAGCTAATTAATGAGGAAAAGGGTCTGAAGATGGCTTTTCTCTCATTCAGTCAGCAGCTATTAAGCTCTGACTGTGTGTCAAGCACTCTGCTAAGTGTAGAACCTGCAATGCTCAAAGGGCTGTGTGAGATAGGCCCAGTTAGAATGGGGGAAGCAAGCTTAGCAGGGTTGAAGAGCGAGCCCCAGGCCACAGGCCCGATAGGTATCAGAGCCGTGGTTTTAATACGTGGGTGCAATGCCACAAGACACCACGCTTTCAGCCGTGCCCCTAGTTGCCTCATGTATGAAAGGGGTAGCGAGGAATCAGTTAGATCCTTCAAAATTTATGACCAATTGAAAATCATTAGTGGGGAAGTTTTCAAAATGGTTACAAAAAGAGTCTACTTATGATGGTCCTAGGTCAGGTCTCCTCAAACATGACACCAGCTGGCAGATGGGTGGTACTGCTTTGACCCCCTTGCCGAGTCTGCACTCCAGGTAAGAGACTCAACGCCAGCCCTCTGTCTTCCAGATGTGATGGACGTAGCATGGTCTCCTCATGACGCCTGGCTGGCTTCGTGCAGCGTGGATAACACTGTCGTCATCTGGAATGCAGTGAAGTTCCCAGGTCTGGGTTCCTCTGGCTGGGTGGCGGCAGAAATGGGTTGCTCATCATCTGTGCTGTCTGTTGGTGTCTGGAGTAGGATGGCTCTCTTTTGGCTGGTGGCAGCATGTGTCTCACAGTGGGCAGGGATTCATGTGTCTTGTCAGTAATTCAGTTATTTTTCTTCATCAGTTATATTTGTTTAAAGGTTTAAAAGAGTTTTATGTTAAAGAAAAATAGTAACTGAGTGCTAACATGGATGTGCCACAAATCATGAGGGTGGTACATTGACAACTGGCGTTGGGGACCGTGCTCAGCTTGCCCTGACACTCCCACCCATGCTGTGCACCCCAGCATCTCCTCTACACATATGCCTTCAAGGGTAACCGTTCCACCTCCTCTGTGACACCCTTGAGCAGATGCAGGCTAGCAAATCCAGTTTTGCAAAAGATTAATTTTTCATATTAATGTGTTTGAAGTCATGACAGATGGCATAACCTGCAGTGTATACCTAGTAAGATATTGCTTATGTTCCTGCTTCGTATCTGGATATGGTTTACTCATGGGCTGAAAAGCATCGTCCATGGACTTAATCCAAGTCATTTTTTCCCTATTAACCACCAGTATGTGTGGTGACACTCAACCTGGCCACCAAGTGGCAGATTTAGAGCTGGGGTAACATTTAGGGGGGGATTTCTAGGAGGTACTGTCCTCAGTGATGACTTACAGGGGACTCAGTGCAGTGCCCTCGATAGAGAGGTTCACATCAGAAATGCCAATGTGACGACCCAGGTGAGCATGGGCTTCTGTCTAGAAAGGCAAACCACAGGCAATACCGCCAACTGCAGACAAGATAAAGGGGCAGAATATGGCTCTGGCCCAAGCCGAGGCCCCTGATTGCCTGCCCCTCCAGGGGCATATGCAGCTTCAGCCCACAAGTGTTAGTTGTGAGTGAAGGGCGATCATGATGCCCGCCTCCTTGGTGCAGTCTTCAGGTGGGTTTTGCCTTCGTGGAAATTAGATTAGGGGCTCTTCTGCTTGTGCACAGGAGCGGGGCTGGCCAAGCTGCACTCCTGAAGTTCCTTCTCTTGGTTGGCCATTCCATAGCCCATGGATTGTAGTTCATGTTTCTATATAGAGTCATCGTTGTCCTCTAGGTAACACCTTTCCAATCTCTTATTTTTCTTCACAGAAATTCTAGCTACTCTGAGAGGTCATTCTGGCTTGGTAAAGGGGTTGACTTGGGACCCTGTTGGTAAATATATTGCCTCTCAAGCTGATGACCGCAGCCTGAAGGTGTGGAGGACGCTGGACTGGCAGTTGGAGACCAGCATCACCAAGCCTTTTGATGAGGTAATGAGACAGCCTAGAGAGCTCAGCCCAGCACCCTTCCTGGCCTCCGTGCACAGAGGAGCTGGCTGAGGTGGGGGCTTTGTGGGTGAATCAGAATCTGGTGGCCTGAGCAGACTGGTCAAGGTTCTCTGAGAGGGTGGACACTTTGGCCCTAAGAGTCAGATGATGAAAATCTTTCATTTCTCAGATGTTATCAAATGTCCACCTTTGGAGTGAAAAGAATTTAAAAGTTTTAAAGCTAAGGAGATACCCCACAACCTTGTGCCACACAGCTGGCTGCCACAGACATGGATGGAACTATTTCTCACCATGTGACATTTATATTGTACTGCCCATGGGATGTATGGGAGGACAAGGGGATGGAGGTGGTTCTCTCTTGTATTTTTCCTGACTGCTGTGGCTTTGCTCATTGACTTCCACTGCAGGCCAGCTGACTTACAGAGCTCATGGAGTGGAATTAAAAGGTGCTGAGCAGGAAAAATGGGGTCAGTGGCCAGATAGATTTGGCCCATACAGAGTTGATGGTTAAAAGAGTTGTCCATCCAAGTGGACTCTCAGAGGGAGGGCAGGGGAGGGTGGGTGGGTGGGAGGTAATCAAGCAAAGACCTTGTAAGCATATACGCATAACCCATGGGCACAGACAATAGGGTGCTGAAGGCCTGGGGTGGGGAGTTAGAGGCGGTCATTGGGGGAAAGGGGGGGGCATATGTAATACTTTCAACAATGAAGAATTACTAAATTTGCCCTAGCCGGTTTGGCTCAGTGGATGGAGTGTCGGTCTGCGGACTGAAAGGTCCCAGGTTCGATTCCGGCCAAGGGCATGTACCTTGGTTGTGGGCACATCCCCAGTGGGAGGTGTGCAGGAGGCAGCTGATCGATGTTCCTCTCTCATTGATGTTTCTAACTCTCTATCCCTCTCCCTTCCTCTCTGTGAAAAATCAATATGTAATACTTTCAACAATAAAGAATTACTAAATTTTTTTAAAAGAGAGTTGTCCGTCCTACAGATCCCCTCAGGGCCTACCCCACTGTGCTGTGCTCAGCTCCTGTGGGAGTGGAGTATGCCATGGCTCCAACTCTCATCTGACAGAGTCTTTTTAGTTGTGTCATCTGGAGTTACAGCTGTCTGTGTAGCCAGAAGCTTGGGTACAGGCTCCACCATCAAACATTTATAAATCAGAGTTCAAATTTATTATTATTATTACTAGAGGCCCGATGCATGAAGATTCATGCAAGAATGGGCCTTCCTTCCCCTGGCTGCCGGCACTGCCTTCGCTCTGGCTGGAGCGCCTTTCCGTCTTCCCATGCTGCCCAAAGGCCCAGAGCGGCTGGGGCGGTGTGGAATGCCTACATTGTCCTGCCCTGCCCCCGGCCACTGGGCGCCTGAGTATGCAAATTAACCTGCCAGCTTTGTTGGGTTGATTTGCATACTCACTCCTGATTGGCTGGTGGGTGTCATGAAGGTACAGTCAATTTGCATCTTTCTCTTTTATTAGTGTAGATTAGTTTTTGGTATTAATATGTTTTATTTATGAACTGAATTTGGTATCTTAGAATTTTTGTTTTTGAAACTGGTTCCCATTCTGGCTTCCTTGCTTCTTCGTAGTCCAATCTAGGTCAACAGGAGAAAGTAAGACCATTGTTCCACATCTTACTTAGAGAACACCACCACCTGGTCACCTTTTGGGGTGGGGTCTGCCGGATGGGGGTGATGCAGCCAGGCGGGCAGGTGGGCGCGCATCGCCGGCAGCCTGGGTCTCACTTGTCCTGTAATCAATTGTCAAGTTTATTCTTGAGTCCAGTTTTGGTCACAAGGTTGGCCTTGATTTCCTTTTAAGCACATGTTTCTTTCAGTGTGGAGGGACAACCCATGTGTTGCGGCTCAGCTGGTCACCTGATGGACATTACCTGGTGTCTGCCCATGCCATGAACAACTCCGGCCCCACCGCCCAGATCATCGAGCGGGAGGGCTGGAAGACCAACATGGACTTTGTCGGACACCGGAAAGCTGTGACTGTCGTGGTGAGTGTGCTCAGAGTGGGCCCCTCAGAGCCTGCGCAGTGCCGTGCTCACCAAGGCTGGGTCACCAAGGCCGAGATTCAGCACATGTCATGTTCTTGTTTCACTTTAAATACTTATGTTTCAGTGTTAAAAAATTAAATTTAAAAAATAGAATACATACTCATGTGTTTATTGGCAAACTTTACATGATGAATATCACCAAAATCAGCCTTTGATTAGTAACACTGGCTCTGGAGTAGCCACTTTACACATTCGGGTCTGCTGGTGGGTGCTCCCACATGGTGGTCCTGACAAGTGCCCCACCCACCAGGCTCTGGAGGACACAGGTGCAGTTCGTGCATCCATCGAGCCCGTGCGTTTATCCCGGGGCTCCACCAGTGGCCACTGTAGCTTCAAGGCTATGCTTTGGGTCACTGGAGTCCTGGTCTGATTCTGGAGCTGTCTGCCAGTTTTGATGTGGAAGGGGGAAGAGTGCCAGAAGATGTGAGCTACTGTTATTCTCTCAGGCTTCAGAGAATAGCACTCTTTTTATGCTTTTGGATGACTTTCATTGAAGAGTGTCTTGAGAGTGCCCAAGGCAAACACTGTGAGGACCAGAATTTCCTCAACACTGGGTACCACAACTAAGTCAATAGATTGATGGGCTAAGGCTGATAGATGTGAAGGATCATCCACATGCCTGTTCTCAGTTTTTTTATTTATAAAAAAGGGGTTCCTTCTTCCCATTGTTTAAAGTGATAATATATACCGTATAGTGTGACTTAAATTTATACAAATAAAATACCACTTCTTTAATATTTTTGTATTGGAGTCCATGTAAGATCTTGTTTGGAACTAGGACCATGTTGCTAAAATGTTTGAAAGTCACTGCTTCGTAGTTAGCATAGTGCTTCCACATGACTCTCTCTCAAGTGAACCTCATGGAGCAACTGTGTGAGGTGGTTGTGAAGACTCAAGCCCAGAATACATGCCTCTGGGTTCCATGTTCTCCAGTCTCTGTGCACCCCTGGCCATTCTTGCCTGCCCTCTGGAATTAGAACCCTCCTGGACCACCTGGCATACCCTTCCCTTTCAGTTTTCCTGGCTTAGTAGATTTCAACTCTGAGTCTAGAGCTCCCAACCCTTTTCAGTTCAGGAAAGCAACAAGGACCTCAGTGTGTGCTTCCAACCTTTCCAAAAAATGATGCCCTGGTTACACTTAGCCTGACGCAGCCATCATCCCTGTTTGTGAGGTCAAAGCAGGGCTGATCAGTCTTTGTAAGACAGTATTGACTGAGCAAGAAATAAAGTGAAAGGAGAGGAACCCTGAACAGCCTCCCCTCAGGACCTTGTCCCTAAAGCTCAGGTCCTAGAGCTGGTCCTGCCCAGGCCGGGAGGGATTCAGTAGCTCCCTTGCCATGGCCCTGACTGTAGGCCCAGCCTGGAGAGTTGGTAGAGCCTGTTTCAAATCCTCCTCTCACCACTTACTCATTTGGTGACTCAGCACATGTGTTTTGGCCTCTCTGAATCTCACTTCAGCCTCAGCAAAATGCCTCCTGGGTAGTTGTAAAGATCAAATAACATATGCTGAGTGCCTGGGCCAGGAAGATGTCGGTGTGGACTGCCCATCGGAGGACTGCAATTGTGGTACATTTGTAATACTTGGCATGGGGTACATGCTTGATGCTTGATCAATTATTTTAGCATTTGTTATTTGGCTTTAGAAATTCAACCCAAAAATCTTCAAAAAGAAGCAGAAGAATGGGAGTTCTGCGAAGCCCAGCTGCCCGTACTGCTGCTGTGCTGTTGGCAGCAAGGACCGTTCTCTCTCTGTCTGGGTGAGCCCCCCATCATGAGCTTTTGCTGCTCCTGAAAGGTGACAGGAAACAGGGCTGGTGAAGGTTTGGCAGCCTGCAAGAAGAGGGCCCCTGCCTCCACCCTGTACCTGGGTCAGGCCCACTTATTACCCCTAAAGGAAGCACTGAAGACTGGGCCTCAGCCCAGCCAGAGCAGCTCTTGTGTCCAGACTCAACACTTTAGTTGGCATGTTGTGTTTGCTTCATTTAAAAACCCTGTATCGACATGTAACCTAGATGAAGTATACAACTCAGAGCATTGTCATAACATGTTTACACATGTAACCACCACCCCAGAACCCTCTGCCAGAGCAACCATTCTAATGACATCTGTCACATTGATAGGTTTTGCCTGTTTTTGAGCTTTATTTGAATGGAGTTGTGCAGTGTTTACTTTTTCTTGTGTTGCGTTCGCTCGGCACAGTGTTGTCGTGTATGCCGTTACATTAAACGGTAGTTTGTTCCTTACTAATGTCCCCAGAAGCAGAGGTTTGGAGGTTGTCCTCTGATGCATTTATTGTGGTCATTTGTCACAGAAATTGATTGCTGTGTACACTGTGATTTTTTCAGGCCCAGTACTCATGTTACATCCATTCCAGAACCTGACCCTAGTGCCATAGGCAGTTCCAGGCATGTTCTTCCTGGCCTGGGGCTCCATTCATGGTGCTTTGACCAAAACATCACTGCTCGTGTGCTCATGTTTCTTATAAAATTGAGGTCAGTTGCTCACACAGGTCCAGATTTCTGAGGGGTCTGTAGACACATTTTTGGGATGAGGGGCAGGGCTCTTTTTTCTGGAAGTACAATTAGGGTAGGGGCAAGATTTTTCTTGTGGATTCCAAGTAGCTCAGATGCCAGCCCTCTCCTCAGGATTAGGATGGTCGAAACTACTCCTTTTCCATAAAAACAGTCCCAGTCTCCTGGAAGCTTCCACAGTAGTTGGTGGGAGCCCTGCAGAAAGGTGTTCCCACCCAGCCTACCGCTCTGTGGCCCCAGGACCTGTTAACAGGTGGATCTCAGTGTAACCGTGGGAGCATGCAGACAGTGCAGGGCCCAACATTAGAATCACTAGATAATGAATATGCACGTGTGAATGTTCTGCAGTCATCTAAAACAGAAGTGTACAGGATATTTCATGACATGCTCAGTAGGTATTAAATGAAAAGGCAGGCACAACCATGTGCCTTATTTTGTAAACCAGAAGAAAATAACTCATCCAACAGTAATAGTGGTTAACTTTGGGTCTGGATTAGGGCAACATAAACTGTTTTTGTGTGTTTCTGAACTATCCGCACACAGTGTAGAATGGGCCTGTGTGACATACGTAGCCGTTTACACCAAGCCTTGTACAAATGTGTACCATAGTTCCTTGGGCCCAGAGAAGATAGCTGCGTTTTCTCTGGAACTATTTTCCTGCCTCATTCCTGGCATGCCTTCCCCTGCTTGGCAGACCTTCTCTGCTCAGGTCCTGGCCCTTCCAGAGTCCCCTACTTCGTCATTGGTTGTCTGTGTATGAAGTCATCTCCCCGCACCAGAAAACAATGAGCCCTTCAGACAGGGAGCATTCTAGTTTGCATATTTCGGCAAACTTTGGTTTCTATAGTTTGGGATCTTGGTCGTTGCTGTTTGAAATTCTGACCAAGTCTTCTAGGACTGATAATGTTAACTGAGCTGAGTGAACAAAAAATGGTTTTCATTCCTTTTATTAACCTTTGCTGCTGCTTTCTTTCCAGCTCACGTGTCTTAAACGACCTTTGGTTGTCATCCATGAGCTGTTTGACAAATCCATCATGGATATTTCCTGGTAAGGTGGATTCCTGTAATCATGTACATTAGACTAGGAAAGGAGAAGCCACACATTGGAACACGAGACCCCCAGATGTGATTAGTGTCAGGTAGCCAGGGACCCACCCCAGGTTTGACACTGGAGCAGACCCCAGGGTGCTGTTTGTACACGATTCAAGAAAGGGCAGCGTGGTCCTGCTTGTGGGAGAGTGTATACTGTTGTGCTCTTAGCTCTGTTGGGATTTGCCCTGGGAAATGCCTTCTCCAACAAATTAGTATTTAGGAAAAGGAGAATGCTGTGATCTTGGTTCCACTTCACTCTGTCCTTGCATGAACCAGATTAGCATAGGTGTGGAGGCACAGTCTGCCTCTCAGTGACCTCATTTAGATTTATACTCCCCCACATGGTTTTTTTTTTAATGGTTTCAAAAATAAGATAAAGAAAAAGAAAATTCTTACAAAGTACATGATGAAAGATACTTTGTGCATGTGCTTAGAACCAAAGGGTGCCAGAACCTTCTGGGACTCTATTGTCTGCCCTATCCGCATCCCCATCCCCACAAGGCCACGAAAGGGAATCCGAGATTCTCAGTGTCTACCTAGAGCTCTGCCCTATTGTCCTCTCGGCCAACCACTGAGGCACGCGTGAGCACCACAGGGCTTGCTCCCGGGCTGCTAATGGTCATCTCTTTCAGGACTCTGAACGGGCTGGGCATCCTGGTGTGTTCCATGGATGGCTCTGTGGCATTCCTAGACTTCTCCCAGGATGAGCTTGGAGACCCCCTGAGCGAGGAGGAGAAGGTAGGAGAATAACATACTGTGAGCTGGTGACCTGTGTGCTGCGCATGCTCTGAGGCCACAGACATGGCCATGATGGCTCTGGGAGGCCCCTTCAATTGGACCCTCGTCTTGTGACATACACAGATACATTGTTTCTTTTCTTTCTTTCTTTTTTTAATAATTATTGTTGAATATGTACTTTGTTTCTTAACGTATTATTGGGTGTTCGTCTTTTATAGGTCGTAATCCTTGTCTTCTTTAGAAAATAGATTAATTTAAAAATGAATCTCGGTTCATGTCAGAAATCAGTTCTGGAATGAAGAATAAAACAATTTTGGGCATCTCTTCCTGAACTGATAATTAGCCACACACTGGGAGCTTTCACCCTGGGAGAAAGCCAGAGAGAGAGAGCTCCCAAGGGTCCCCACTCACCTCACTTTCCCCATTGTCTTGTGCTGACAAGGTTGCCATGGAGCAGCAACTAAATAGTAATATTGACCATTTTTCAGCACTTACTGTGTACCAGTCTCTGGACCATATGTTTGCATATATTTTATTTAAAATATACAAAACCCTTGAAGGCAGAACTTACTCGTTTCATCAATGAGGTAATTAAGCCATGGAAAATAGTATGGCTCTTTGCCAAGACCATACGGGACCTTTTGGTACAAGAACAGAAGCCTGACCCAGGCCCACTGATTTGGGCCAGGCCTCCTCCCTGTGCTCTGCCCAGGACAGTGTGGCCAGGGCCCTTCCTCAAGGGCTTCAGGAACGGCTCTGCTCTCACTACCCTAGACTTAGAACCAGTGTTTCTACAAATGGCCTTTATCTGAAAGGAGCCCTGTGAAAGCTCAGAGTAGGTGGGCAGCTCTCCCCGCAGTGATTCAATTACTATAGAAGCTTCCTCTTAAGCTACTGTGGGGATCCCCACCCCCACTATGAGGTAAATCTTTCGGGGGTAAGAGTCTGAGTTGTTGACAGCACCTAGAATAGGGCCTGGCACCCTGGAAGTGTCTTGTCAATGAGAGGGTGAGTGTCTTGGCCTCAGGTCGTCTTTGCACCTTTCCCAGTCCTCAGGTAACCTGGGACCCACTGTGCACTCCCCTCCCCTTGGAGAGTCGCAGTGGGAGCCTATGTAATAACCTGTCTAGCTACCATCTCCCAGATGACAGGCAGGGACCGCGTGGATGAAGAACACCAGGGAAACATTGGTCAAACTCTGAATTCTGCCTCGAGATTCCAGGGGAGGGATTTAGGAGAAAGGGGACAGGAGCCAGGGTGGTAGGGGAGGGAGGTTCTTGGCCACATACAGGCACAGCAGGCCCTGCAGGAGTGAGTCCCAAGATGCCACTTCCCCCACCCAGCATCTTCTGCTGTGAGGCAGATGTCCTACTGACCTCCACATTGGTCATTGCGCATCCTTATGTGAATCTGTTCTTTATTGCAGCAGTCACTCCAGTGTTCTGGGGACATTATCCCTGCCCTTGTGGGGTCCCATCTGACTTGTTTTGGCATGCGACCAGTGAGACTTGGGAAGATGGAGAGGGGCCCTCTCAGAAGGATCGAGACAGCAGGGACAGAGGATTTCCCTAGATCAGCTGTGCCAGGCCTCCCCTTGTTCTTAGAAACACTGTTAGCAGCCCCATGGCAACCTCCAACCACATGGGGCTGATGGCTGTAGATAAGAGCAATGAAAGCAGACTCTGGTTTCAGTATCTGATTCCCAAAGAGTGTTTGGGGTCCTTGGGGTGATTTAAGAGCCTTAAGTTAGCAATTTGAGTGTCTTACTTCAGTTCATCAAACATTTGCCATTTGTTCTGCATCAGACATGTAGTAGGTTTTTTCTAGTGGGTTACTCATTCACTTTTGTCCCCAGGTATATATACATGGGAGACTATAAACATCTAGGAAAGATACAAGACTGCTCCAGAGTCATCTAATTGGCAACAGGCAGAATAGCGTAGGAGGCAATGGAGAACTGGCATCTGGCGCTCTGGGACCCCCGCCCAGGGCCCTTTCTGCTCCCAGAGCCAGGAGAGCTAGCACAAGTTCACTTGGCTGCTCACAGCTGGTTTATTGTACTTTTCTTTGCTTTCTCTAGAGCCACATTCACCAATCCACCTATGGGAAAAGCTTGGCTATCATGACCGAGGCCCAGCTGTCTACAGCTGTCATCGAGAACCCTGAGATGCTCAAGTACCAGCGGAGGCAGCAACAGCAGCAGCTGGACCAGAAGAGTGCCGTGGCCAGAGAGACGGGCTCAGCTGCCTCAGTCGCTGGTGTTGTCAATGGGGAGAGTCTGGAAGACATCAGGAAGGTGAGGACTTGGCCCGATGGCACTGAGAACACAGCAAGCACATGCCCAGGGACAGGACAAGGGGAACAGGCAGTCTGGACAGGGTACAGACATGAGTGGTGGGGAGGTGGGTGTGTGCTTGGTCTGGTGTAGGACCCAGGAATGAGCCAGTTTGGGCCCACTCGGCCCGTTACCCTCAATTGCATGAGGAAGTAGCGGTGCTTAATCCACCTTTATCAAAGGACTTTTTGCCCCAAAGAGCTCTAGAAGGGGTCATTTCTTATAGGAATTTGGCCTTTCTAGGGAATTCTATATATACTATATATACTGCTAGTCCTTGAATAGTATCATTTTGTCATTACAATCTTGATGAGAAAATTAAAAATTGAGTCTTGTGTGGAGTTTGCACGTTCTCCCCCTGTGTCCTCCCACATCCCAAAGATGTGCATGATAGGTTTACTGTCCCAGGTATGCCCGAGCTGCCGAGATAGGCTCCAGCCACCCGTGACTGAATAGTGGGTTGGAAAATAATCACCGTACTTGTTTTTATTAATCTTCCTTCAATGTATTTATAACTCACATATATTTCAGCGTTGAATATTGGAAGTATTTTGGGTCTTTACTTAGAAGTTTGATGGTGTTTTTGTGACCAGAAATATGTCATAGGAACTTAATTCTTGTTTATATCAATTAGCCTCTGGTAAAATTGGTTCCCTTATATGTTGTTCCACGTTAAGTCATAGTTTCCAAGAACCTGTCGATGACATTAAGTGAGGATTTACTGTGCTGAGAACATTAGTTTCAGTCTCTGCCCTTAAGAAACATCTGTGGGCTCCTCTTTCTTCTCCCTGAGGAGTGGAAGGTAGAGATGGGGCAGGAAGGTTAGAATTTCTTAGGGTGCTTAAACCATCTTTAGGAGTTTGTGAAGGGTGATGAACCTCCACAGGTGATTCAGACAGTGTGTGACCCGTGGTTATGAGCTTTAGTGGAAGAAAGTTTGCAAACCACAGCTTAGAGACAAATGTGTGGCTCATGGGTGCAGGTCTCATCTGTTAGTTCCCTTGTTGATCCCCAATGGCCACTTACTTTCCCCTGGAACCGGGCCAGGCCTGCGTACTGGTGATGAAGAGGAAGGGGCTGAGCTGGTTCAGCTGGGAGCTTTCTGTCCTTTCTTGCCGGAAGTGGAGCATGTACCCTGATAAAAACATTTATTCTTTGATTGAGTGGCTTAGTTTAGTTGGACCAGAAGACTACAGAAAGGCAATTTAGAATACATTTCCTTAGAAACCTTATTTTTTGATAATTGGAGATGGTTCACATAAACGTTTCCATTCATTTATATCATTCTACTTTGCCAGAATCTTTTGAAGAAACAAGTTGAGACTCGGACAGCAGACGGTCGGAGAAGAATCACACCTCTCTGCATAGCACAGCTGGACACCGGGTACTCGTTCGTTCACCGAGCTTTCTGTGGCCTTGTCTGGGAGCTCTTCCTCTCACCTTTCACCACTTAGCACTTTCATAATTAGGCTCTTGGGCAGATCTGACCCATAGAATCTGGAAGTGAGAGAGTTGGGCCCAGCTTCCCACCAACCTCCAAGGCCAGTGCTCCTCACAGAGCCCTTATGCAAACTTCTGCTGAAGGTGGGCTGGGAAGGGCCTGTGACAGGCCAGCAGCCAAGGGCCCCTTCACAGGGTCAGCGTGTCCACGCAGCCAACCCTGCTTCGTCTTGCCAGGGCATGACAAAACTTGAGGTAGAGAAGTTGGACTGATTTTTTTTCCCGTTTCTTTTTTCCCTTGTATAGCCTTCTTTTTTAAATTTTATTGTGAACGTAATACATATATTTATTATTGAAAATAGTAAAGGCCCAAAGAAGGACATAAACCTTAACCTTAATTCAGTCTCTCAAATATAATCAATGTTAATATTTTGGTATCTGTATCTCCAGTCTTTTCCCGACGTGTTCCTATATCGTGACCTTGCATCCATTTTAATAAATAGTCCTCTGAAGCATTGCCTTGCTGATTGTCCAGGTTCCCAGCCTGTGAATGCACCATGATTTACTTAACCAGCCCCTTAACTGTGGACTTGTAGTTTTTTATTGCAAATGAGTAACAGCTCACCTGTTACTGTTACTTCAGGCTACTTCCCAGAAGTAGAACTGTTGGGTGGAGAATGGGCGCTGAGGCACATTTCCCTGAGGAGGCAGAGAGGGGGGAAAGTGGACTCAGTCACCATTTGCTGTGTCTTAGCATCTATTGTCAGGCTTGCTTTTATATGGGCCATTCTCCCCAAAATGATGGATGTTGATTCAAAGAATGATAAAGCCCAGTGTGAAAGAAATAGACACACCCCCCCCCCCATAAAAGTGGTTCACTCTGGGTTATACTCATGCAGTCAGCCTACTCAGGGCAACCACACACTGTAGTCCTCTGCACTTTGCAACTGTTCATCCATGAGCTTGCTCCAAATCTTCTCAGAAGTCTAAAGAGACCTTTAGTCATACGATGTGCTGATTGACCTCTGAGGCCCTGGAGGACAGACACTTGACCCAATGGAGCCTGTGCCGGTTTCCTGGCTCCTCCCAGAGAGTGGTTTTCCTTTGATCAAGCCTTTTCCCCATGCCACCGGCTGCCTACCTTTTATTAGGACCAAGTCAGACCAAGTATATGACACTGCGAGACTTGTGGGAGTGAGGGTCGTGGAAGTGGTGGTGGTGGTGGTGGTGGTGGCATTTTTGTTTTGTAGATCCCTCCAGGCCTCACCTTGTGAGGGGGCAGAGGGAGTAGATGGATTCCTGCCTGGCCTCGAGCCAGCTTTCTGCTATAGGGCTCATTTTCTGGCACCAGAATCTGATTCTCTTGGTCTCCAAGGCTTCTTTGCCCTCCTGATACCCATATTAAAACAAGTAGTAACAGAATAGCTAATTATCAGCTTAGCTAATCAAGAAAGAAAAAAAGCACAAATATGTAAAGTAGAAATAAGTGAGAAATAATTACAAATAAAGAATAAATTAAAAGGATGAAAACTTTGCTGAACTCTGTGCAAATAAATTTGAAAATGGATGAGTTTTGAGGAAAATAAAATTAGCAAACTGAAGAAAATCTGTACAGATGAGTTATTATAGAAGAAATAGAGGACACTATCAAAGAGTTAATCTGCCAAAAGCCACCAGACTAAGAAGGGAAATTCTAACACTTTGAAGGAACAGATCATTCTAATACTATTGAAAACATTCTAGTGCATAGAAAAGGAAGGAAAGCTTACAAAATCTTTATCTTTGAAGTGAACACAATATTTACATCAAAACTTGACAGATAGAACATAATAAATTACTGATTAATCTCATTTCTGAATGTCAATGCAGAATCCTAAATATTTAATAGCAAACAGAACCTTACAATATGTTAAAATGTTAATGCCCTATGACCAAGTGAAGTTTATTTTGGGAAAGCAAAGTAATTCAAATTTTGGAAAACGTAATTTAATTCTACATTTTAATATATCCCAAAAATGATATGATCATTTCTAGAGATGCTTAAAAGGCATTTTTATTTAATTCAACATCATTCTTATTTAAAACTCATTTAAACAGGAATAGATGGATGCTTGATAAACTATCTTATTCAAATTAAATTAAAGAACTAAAATGTCTACTCTTGTGACTATAATTTAACATCATTCTAGAGATCCTTGCTCAGTCAAGAGAAACAATAAATTGGATAGGAAGTGGTAAATGTATTATTATCTAAAGATGATTTGATCTCTATAAGCGAATCAACTGGAAAAACTGCCATAGACGAAGAAGAAAATAAGGTGACTATACACAACCTACATGATGAGATCAAGTACCACCAACTACTTTTAGAAGATAAGAAGAAATCACTTTCACAAATGCAATACCTCAATGTAAGAAGAAATGTAGATATTTATGAGAAAAAAGTTTAAACCCTACTGAGAGACCTAAAAGGAAATTCAAAGAAATTACACAAAATGCATACCATGTATTAGCTAGGATGACAACATCATAAAGATGACAGATTTCTCTCAGTCTGTAAATATAAAATGAGTCAATACAAATAACCACAGGAGCTTTCTGAATAAGACAATCTGATTCTGAATTTAAGTGGAAAAAGAAATAGGAGTAGCTGAAATATTTTTGAAAAAATCAGGGAAGACTAGCCCTACCAGAAATTAAAGCAGTGAAGTACTAAAGTACTGACCCATGGAAACAAAGAACACTGGGCCCTGCCCAGTATTCCCAGTGGTTAGAGCATCAGCCTGAGGAACGAAGTATCTCAAGTTTGATTCCTGTTCAAAGGCATGTACCTGGGTTGGAGGTTCAAGCCCTGGCCCAAGTCGGGGTGCATGCATGTGGGAGGCAACCAATCAATGTCTCTCTCTCTCTCTCTCTCTACCTCTCCCCTCCCCCCTTCTATACCTCCCTTCCTCCCACTCTCTCTTAAAATCAATGGAGCCTGGCCAGTGTGGCTCAGTGGTTGAGCATTGACCTATGAACCAGGAGGCCACGGTTCAATTCCTGGTCAGGACACATGCCCGGGTTGTGGGCTCAACCCCTAGTGTGGGACATGCAGGAGGCAGCCAATCAATGATTCTCTCTCATCATTGATGTTTCTATCTCTCCTTCCTTCCTCTCTAAAATCAATTTTTTTTAAATCAATGGAAAAAAATATCCTCAGGTGAGGATTAACAAAAAACAAAACAAAACAAAAAAATAGAACAGCCCTGGCCAGTTTCACTCAGTGGTTAGAGTGTTGATTCACACATCGAAGGGTTGCAAGTTCAATTCTGGTCAAGGGCATGTACCTGGCCTGTGGGTTCGCTCCCTGTCCCCGGTCTAGGCACATATGAGAGGCAACCAGTTGATCTCTCTCTTTCTCTCTCTCCCCCCTCCCCCTTCCACTCTCTCTGAAAAGCAATGGAAAAAATATCCTCAAGTGAGGGGGGGTGGAAAATAGAACATTGGTATGCAATAGAAAACCCACAAATCGGCTCAGATATTTATGAAAATTTTATAAAGATAATATTTTGCATCCATGGTGAATCAGTATCTTCAATAAATGGGAGTCAGGACTATTTGATACTCTAAAAACAGAATTGGAGCCCTGCCTCACTTAAAATTCTGAACAGCTGAGAGATTTTCAGAGAACATCTGAACAGCTAAGAGATTTTTTTTAATGTTTAACTTTTTTGTTTAAAATTCTAGAAGAGTCCATAGAAGAATATTTTCATAATCTCTGAGGTAAAAAAGTATTTTCTATAAATGACAAAATTTATACCACACAAAAATAACATTTTTTTGGCAAAGAAAATTACACAATAAAGAATCAAAACACTATATTCTGGGGGAAAATATTTTCTGCTCATATAAGGAATTATTTTATATGTTTATAGCCTTAAAATCAATAATAAAGACCAATAACCAAGTGGAGCAGTAGATGAATATGAACAAACATTTCACACAAAAAGAAATCAGGTGTTTCTATATGAAAAAATTTCAATTTTATAAAATAATTGCATCAAAATAATTGCAAATTAAAACTATAGTAAGATACTATTTTTCATCTATCTGCTATCAAGAAATTTGATAAGCCCTAGCCAGTTTGGCTCAATGGATAGAGTGTCAGCCTGTGGACTGAAGGGTCCCAGGTTCAATTCCAGTCAAGGGCACATGCCTGGGTTGTGGGCTCGATCCCAGTAGGGGGTGTGCAGGAGGCAGCCGATCAATGATTCTCTCTCATCATCATTGATGTTTCTATCTCTCTCTCCCTCTCCCTTCCTCTCTGAAATCAATAAAAATATTTTTTTAAAAGAAATTTGATAAAATTGTCAGGGTGTGGGTTATAGACATTTATAGACAGGTTGTAATTTAAACCTCTAAGGAGGGCACTTTAGAGCTATTTGCCAAAAATCAGTAATGAACATTTCATTGGCTGCTGCAATTCCACCTCTAGGAATTTATCTCATGTGAAAAGTGAAACAGCAGGTGTGATGACCGTTATACCGGTGGACATCTTTGAGCAGCTACTATGTGTTCTAAGTGTTTGCTACACTAACAACTTTAGTCCTGACAGCAACTCCATGGGGAAGGTCCTGTCACTTTCTGTTTTGCAGATAGGAACCTGAAGCACAGAGTGGTTGAAGCACCCAAGGTCCCAGAGCTGGTGCATGGCAGAGGAGCGAAACCTGGCTGGTTTGGCCCAGGGCCCTCAGTCTTAACACTGCAGTATCTTGCCTCCTGTTGCCGCAGTGTCTATTACTGAACAGGCTGGGAGACAGCCCAGCCCAGTTGTTCCTCAGTAAAGACTGGTTAGGTAAATGATGGTACATGCATATAGCCCATAAGAAAAGGGAGGTCCACTCTGGATGCTGTATTTCATTAGTTCTCAGACACATGTCTTTACATTTTAACACCTCTCAGATCAGGATGCATCTGACAATTATATTTGGTAACAGTTTTTTCTTAGTGGTACATAAAGTATCAGTTCAACTTAGAGTCAGTTAAACAGAGTGTATGGAATGATTTTAGTTTTGTAATTTTGCAAATTTTCTTCTTTGAAAATAAATTACCTTTGGATCCAGAAAAAAAGTGACTTAGAATTGTATAAAGTGCTTGATGTGGTATCTGATTTCTGAGGCTGACTCTGTTCTTTCTGACCGCAGGGACTTCTCCACGGCGTTCTTTAACAGCATCCCACTCTCAGGCTCCCTGGCAGGCAGCATGCTATCCTCTCATAGTAGTCCGCAGCTGCTGCCCCTGGACGCCAGTACCCCCAACTCCTTCGGCACCTCAAAGCCTTCCACGGAACCTGCGGCAGCAGCCGGCACCAGGCCTGCGGGCAATTCTGTCAATAAGGACAGGTGAGTGGGCACCAAGGCTTCCTCCTGTCCCTGGGGAAAGTTTGGGTTTGGACACAGTTCCAGGGACACTTCATGGCCCCTTCAATAAAAAGAAAGAAAAGAGATGCTGGATTTCAGATGAGGGCCTGCTCGGAAGGGAGGCCTTCATTCAGCTGAGTCTGATGCCCAGGGCTGTGAGGACTCCACATCCTGGGGGAAGAGCAGTCCCAGGATTGGGCTCCTAAGGGTGGGAACCAGCCAGGGGCACGTCACCTGCCACAGGATCAACTCACCTTCTGGCAGGTCTGCACTGGAGGTGGCTTAGCCTCCACTGCATTATTGGTAGCATCACCACACCAGTCATCTCAGGCAGAGTGCTGGTGTGCTAGGGCAGAGTCATCTTTCACTCTCAGAATTACGTTTGCTCCAGGAGCCTGTGTCTTCACCAGCCATTACCTGGAAACCAAATTAGAAGTCAGTAAGAACCAGAGGAGCATGAATAAGAGCCAGGAGCCATTTACTCAGTGAACATTTACCCAGTACCTGCTCTGGGTTACACACTGCGAGTGCCCAGGCATCCACATGGGGTTGATTGGTGGGTCCTTGTCCCTAGAGAGTATATCAGCTGGTAGAGAAAGGGGCAAACACAGAGGCATAGGGGTGGCTCCTCGGGTCTCCTGTGTGGAAATGGCTAGCCATCCAAAGCGGGGGAGGGCTTGTTGGGCAGGTCTCAGGAAGGGTTATTGGAGGGCCCATATAGGGCACCCAGGGGAAGGGTTAGGGGGCAGCAGCAAGAGCAGAACCCCAAATCCCTGAGGAGTGTCAGTAAAGGGGGGGAAAGCTGGGCTTCGCTGCTGAATCAGATACCCTGGGCTTCTCCTTAGAATGGAGACACAGAAGGCTCTGGTCTTGCACCTTAGATCACTCCAGGAGGCACTGGTGCCCAAATATTGCTGCCACCCAGCTAAACTATTACTGTTAGAGTGATTCTCCATCGGTGGGGACAGGGTCTTGTGTGGGCTCGATCCCAGTAGGGGGTGTGGGCTCGAGGTTGATTGGTTTCAACCTCCACAAACACAGATACCCATGGCTTTTTCCATATGATTGGTTCACAGCCTCCTCCTTCCTGGGCTCTGATGTCATGGTCATGGAGGCATCACCAAGTATCAAGTGTCCCGTGCCTGAGGGAAGTGTGAGGGTAGATGGGAAGAGGAGATGGAACAGCTTGACCAGTTAGAAAGCCCCAGATTTGCAAAATGTTTCAATAGTTGGTCCTAGAGTTCCCTGGAGAGGAGGAGAGGCTATCTAGGATACCTGCCAGGCATCTGGTGTCGGGTCCAGTCCCGTGGATTTGGTCATTGGGAGGCCCAGTGGTTTGGGGAACCAGTGTGAGGGATGCAGATGACCACAGGGTAGCTGGCAGGCTCATGCTTGGGCTCTCCTTTCTCGGAGGAGAAGGCAAGGGCTGTGGGATGGACACTGGGAGGAGAGTGAAGAATGTGAAATTGTTACATTGAGGGGCCACCGGGGCAGGAGGTTGGAGGCCAGGAATAGACACTGGCTTCAGGACCCCAGATGGGGCTTTTCTCCTCGGACCCATTGTCAAAGTGGGAAAAGCTGGTGGTTGGAGTGGTGTGGGTGGCTGTATTCAAGTTGTGGAGATGGGGCCGTATGGTGAGCAGAAAAGGGTTGCAAGAACCACTTTCTAGGCCTCGTGCTAACCCCCAAAGCTCTCAGAACAATGCAGCGGGGCAAATGTGAGTGCATTCTCCGATAGCCAAACTTGGAGAATTTTTTTAATAAATGTTTACTTTTTTCATATTTACCATTTTTATTTATTGATTTGGTTTAGAGAGATAGAAACATTGATTTGTTGTTCCACTTTTTTATGCATTCATTGGTTGCTTATAGTATGTGCCCTGACCGGGGATCGAACTCACAACCTTGGTGCATTGGGACAAGCTCTAGCTACCTGGCCATGGCAAACTTCCAGAATTTTAACATGTGAAATATTTTTAAAATAGGAGTAGTACATTGTACCTCGAAATTTTTGTGTTTTTAGAAGTTTTATATTTGTGCCCCTTTCACTTGGCTCCAGGTAATATAAATCCCAGACTCCCAAATCCCTGATGAATTGTGCTTGACATGCTCTCCCATCTTCTTCCCCACCCCAGCGTGAACGCTACCTCGGCTCCTGCTGCATCATCCCCCTCTGTGTTAACAACCCCATCCAAGATTGAACCCATGAAAGCGTTTGACTCCCGGTTCACGGAGCGGTCCAAAGCCACGCCTGGTGCTCCTGTCCTGACAAGTGTGACACCAACGGCCGTAGAAAGGTAGGTGGTGACTGTGTGGGGCTCAGAGTGACCAGGTGAGTGCAGTCTCAGGCCAGCAATGCAGCGTCCTCTCTCCTACCAAGCAGCTTGCCCTCCCTGGGGGAGCAGGCTTCAGTCTCTGTACTCGGGAGCCCCAGTTTCAAGGAGAAAGGAGTGGCTGCTTCAAGTGGGAAGGTTGCTGGAAGGAGCATGGGGGTGGACAGAGCAGCTCTGCACAAGGACAGAGGGCAACAGCATGGCAGCTGGGCAGTGTGGGAGATGTGCTGAGAATAACTGTGTGTGAATGGAGCCCAGTTTGTGTGAATGTTCAAACCAAAGAAGTCCTCACCTACTTTTTTAATGTTTCAGTTTTGGGGGATTTTATTGATAATTATAAGTTAATAATCATATGGAAAAAGCCATGGGTATCTGTGTTTGTGCAGGTTGAAAGAGCAGAACCTTGTGAAAGAGTTGAGGCCCCGGGACCTCCTGGAGAGCAGCAGTGACAGCGATGAGAAGGTTCCTGTGGCCAAGTCCTCCTCCCTCTCCAAGCGAAAACTGGAGCTTGAGGTGGAAACAGTGGAGAAAAAGAAGAAAGGGCGACCTCGGAAGGACTCACGGCTCATGCCCATGTCTCTGTCTGTCCAGGTGAGGCCAGCAGGTCTGTGCTAGCTTCCCCAGCCCGCTTGTTGGGTTCAGTGCTGGAGCTTGCATGTGCCCAAGTGGGAGAAGGGAGGCCCTGCAGAGCACAGTGTGCCCCATCAGTGTGGGAACAGCTGGTTAGACATGCACCCCCTGGATTAGCATGGAGGCACACTCCCCCTCAGACCTGCTCTTGTCCTACCCAGAGTCCTTGAGCAGCCCCTTGGCGTCGGCTGCCTCATCTGTCAAGTGGGATCACTGGAGCAGTCATCTGTACTGTCCTCCCAGAGTGGGTGGGAATACCTGGGGAACTGGCCCAGCCTTATCTCTGGGTGACTCGCCTGTACGTGACACTGCCCGACAGTGCTGGGAGGGGCTCAGGGACATTTCTGCTCTTGCAGTCCCCAGCTGCTCTGACTGCAGAAAAGGACACTGTGTGTTTGTCTGTACCAGCGCCTACACTGAAGCTGCCCATGCCGGGCCCCCAGAGAGCATTCACCCTCCAGGTGAGCCGGCCCCCTGCCTCTCCCTCACAAGCGTGTTCTCTCTCTCTCTCTCCCCAGCCCCACTCCTTCCCCAACCCCCAGTGTAAACCCTGAATTGTCAAAAACAGGGCTGTTGCCCAGTGGTTCTCCATCATACTCTGAGGGAAATTGTAGTTGATCATGGCAACCACCAGTCTTAGCAAGATTACTAGTCTGTTCTCCAGGAACCCCTTCAGCCCCTGCCCCCCCCACCACCACGCTTCTTTCTCTGTGGCTTTGCCCTCAAAGTCCCTGCTGCCATCTTCTGAATGGCCAGCTCCTTCCAGAATTGTCTCAGGAGTCCCTTCCGGAAGCCTCCTTCGTTCCACACTTGGTCCCAAGCAGCCTCAGACTCTGCCCATCGGACTGTGTGGCAGTGGTCTCCCTCCCAACCAGCCCACTGGCCCTGTTCATTTTCCTGGGCCCAGCACAGAGCTTGCATCAGGGCTCTTTTAACCATGTGCTTGTTCAAAACACAGTTTTTTAAATATTATTGTAGAGTAAATAATCCTTTATATGCAGAGGCCCTGTAGTCACTAGTCTAGCACCCATGCCAGACCTTTGCACACCCAGTCACTTCATGCCCTTTGTTCCTCAGGTGCATATCAATAGGAAACCCTGTCAGACTCCATATGTAGGTCATTTCTCACAGGTTGCACACGGCCCCAACCCAGGCTGGTCCCCATGGGGTGTCGGCCCTTTCCTGCCACAGGTCCTTCTGAGCCTAAGAATAGGGACCCACATGCTTTGTTCTTGTTGCTGATATGAGCAGAGGCAAGGAGCACAACCCCCTCTCCCAAACTCCTCCAGCTTCCCCTGGGGGTTTCACCACTGAGTGCTGCTTGGAGCCCTTCTTGGTTTCTATATGGCCCTCTGCCCCAGGTAACCCACTTATGTGGCTACACAAGTGCAAACTGTTCAACCATTCTGCCTGGTTTTCATACAGATTGTCAGTCGTCTCCCCATACACAAAAGACAAAGTTGAGCCCATTGTGGAGCCAGGCACTGAACTAAGCGCTTCCATGCATGCGCTTCTAGGGACACTCCCGTGAGGTTGGTTTCAGATGAGCAGACAGAGGCTCACTACGAAAGAAACTAGAGAGGACTTCGGGTTTTCTAGACTTTTCCTCGGTTATTACCAAGCACTGTGATCTCTGAAGACGTTCAGCTAGGAGCCACGTCTCCCCACCAGCTGTGTCCAGCTGGCTGTGGGCCTCGCTTGCAGTGTGCTCTTAGACAAGCCACATGCCTTCTCTGCATGTTCCCTGTGAAAGGAGATGGTAGGGTTAGGAAGCTCTGGAGTCTCTAGCTCTAACACCAGTTCTCTGCTCTGCTACACGGAAAGAACATTGTGTTTACTTTCCTCCATTCAGGTGAGCTCCGACCCCTCCATGTACATTGAGGTGGAGAATGAAGTGACGGCCGTTGGGGGAGTGAAGCTGAGCCGCTTGAAGTGTAACCGGGAAGGAAAGGAGTGGGAGACGGTACTCACTAGCCGGATCCTCACTGCTGCCGGTAGCTGGTAAGGGTGAGGGTCTTCACCTGGCCCAGCATTTCATGTAAAGCAAGCACCACGTGTTGTGTTGTGTGGTGCTGATGCTGTTTGAGGAGATGCACTGCCCCCCAAGTGCTAGCTCCCATGGAGACTGCAGGTCTTGTCTGGGCTGAGTGTGTGGTTATCCTCTCGGTCCCTGCAACACCCAGTGAAGTTGGCGTCATTATCTCCATGGTACAGCTGGGAAAACTGAGTCCTAGAGGCTCACCCATGCCAGCATTTTCACCCAGGTGTTGTGATTCCCTTGTCTGGCCAGACTCCTGAAGTCTCAGGTCCCAGGCTGAGCTCTGCCTGGCTCTGACTTGGGCTGGTTCTTTCTCTGGATCCCAAATTTTAATCCAAGGAAGTCAAGATTGATTTCTGACTGTCCCCCCTGAGTTCCCAGCCCAGCCCCTTTCAGATTCTGCACTTTGAGGGGAGACCTTAATTCAGTGTTAGTCACGCAGGGTCTCACAATGGACTTCTGGGCCTCTATCCTTTGAAGCTGTCCCTGTATTCACCCCCACCCTAGCCAGAAAGGCTTTCTGAGCACACAGCTGGTGTCCCTTATGGAGACACACTCCGTCGTTCCCACACTTCTGGCCTTTCTCGGCAGAGATCTTCTCAGGACTAGTCCAGCTAGTTGTAGCCAGTAGACTGTTGAGTGGACGCTGTGTGGCCTCATATGACAAGGGAGGTGTGTTTTCTGGGTCACCATCAGTGGTCCTCTGAAGCACCCCCCGTCACAAGTTAACATTAGGGTGAATTCGGAAAAGCTTGAGCAGCCTAGTGGGGGAGGAGAACATAGTCTCTAATGAGAGACCTCAGTTCTGTCAGCCCTGCTGTCCCGCCCTCCCCCAGTCCTACTGGCCGGCCCTCTCCCTGCCTCTCCTGCTGCTCAGGCTCAGGCCCAGGTAGAAGGAAGGCTCTGTGCCTTGGGGCTCCTACCTCTGCCACAGCACCTGGTCGTCATGACACCTATCCCCTCTCTGCCTCCTCAGTGATGTGGTATGTGTCGCCTGTGAAAAGAGGATGCTGTCAGTGTTCTCCACCTGTGGTCGCCGCCTCCTCCCTCCCATCCTCCTGTCATCCCCAATCTCCACGTTGCATTGCACAGGCTCCTACGTCATGGCGCTCACTGCTGCGGCCACGTTATCTGTCTGGTGAGAGACAGGCCTGGGGTGAGGTGGGCTCCAGGCAGGGCAGGATAGGGCTGTATAGGTTCCTCTTTACTGCAGGAGCAGGGGAGGCAGTGGAGGAAGCCGCCTGGCAGACATGCCCGTGGGCCCTGCTGGCATGGGGGTCTTTACAGGCAAAGAGACCCAAGCAGTTGGACACTGCTTGTGATGGCCACCGCACATGTGTGTGTACGTGTGGGGGAGGGGGCAGGTATGCAAGCGGAAGTGGGGCAGGCTGCCTACCCCTGCTACCACTTTTATAAGAGCAAACCACATGACAAAACACAATGTGCCAGGGTCCAAAACACAATGTGTGGGGTTCATCAGAATGGGATCTCAGCTGCCACAGTGTGACCACGCTTCTCCCACAGTTGGTATGGCATTAGCGACGAGCCCCACAGCTCTGTTGCCTGCGCCCTCTGCTATCGCCTCGTGTGGAGAAAGTAACGTGGCTCATGGGGAGCAGAAGCCTCTTGTGGCCCAGAGCTCCTCTCGGGGAGGCCGGGGCAGGGTGTGCACAGAGACCACAGAGCAGGGGTCTGAGGACCGCGGCGCACTTTCAGGCATTTACTCAGATTGGAGAGTAAGCTGCTTCTTATCTCCCTCCTAGGGATGTTCACAGGCAGGTGGTTGTGGTAAAAGAAGAGTCTCTACACTCTATCCTGGCAGGTAACCGGCGATGGGCTGCCCCTGGTGCCCTGATGAGGGAGGGGACAGGGAAGCTCAAGTCCCAGGCTCCACTCAGCCTAGACAGAGAGCCAGAGCCAGTCTCTTGGCTCAGCCCAAGGTACTCAGTGTGCCAAGGGGTCACAGTTATGTTGCAGGGAGATGCACCGTCTCTGGGGCGCATTTCATTGGCTCCCTGTGTGGTGACAAAGAACCCGTGGGTGGTGGTGAAAACAGCACTCACAGGGAAGAGACTCCCTAGTTGCTGAGTCAGCGTTAAGGCGCCTGTTTCTGGGACTGGGTGCCATGGTCAGATTCCCCTCGGTGCATGTGCAAGCACTTGCTGATCAGAACACACCCAGAATCCATTCTTATGGTGTCTCCCCAGGAAGTGATATGACGGTGTCACAGATCTTGCTTACACAGCATGGAATCCCAGTGATGAACCTGTCCGATGGAAAGGCCTACTGCTTTAATCCGTCACTTTCTACATGGTAAGCAAGCCACCCTTCCCTGGCCCTGCCCCAGAGGAGAGTGTCTGTCCCAGGTGGTAACAGGTCATGTGGTACTTGCTCCTCAGGCCTGCCTGGCTTGGCTTTTCCTGAGAGTTGGGCCCTGGAGTAGAGGTCACAATGACTGCTTGGTCTCCTCTCTGCTGGAGGAGAGAGAACTCACACCCACCTGTATAGGCCCTACTGTCCCTGTTAGAGGCTAGAGGCCCACAGCCTCTCTGCTCTCAGAGCCCGTGTGGAGGGGTGCTTTGCTTTGTCTGCTGAGATCACTTTGTTTGGAATAGGCATTTGAAAGTTCTTATGGTTGCAAATATATATTTCCAGCCTGGCTTCCTTAGCCATCATCAGCATCGGTGATTCAGCTTCATAATACCTTCGCCAGCACATAGCAGTTTTTGAAGTCCAGTAGCGGTTTCGACTTTGTAAATTAGTAAGGTTGCACCATCAGCACATGCGGTGGTCTGTACCTTTCCTCCACCCATTTGGAATTTGGAGCCCATTTTTATATTTGTAAAATCCTTTCTACATCAGAGATCTCAACCCCAACATGTTAACTGTGCATTGTATACCAGCCACTCTGAGAAATTCTTCTGCCTGCACCTTTTGGTCCCTCAGACCCAAGTTCTTGTGGCATTTTTCTGTTCAGAGTTGCCAGGCACAAATTCATCCCATACTGAGATGTCTTTCCTGAGTTTTAAAAAAAAAAGAAAGAAAGAAACTCCCCGCTGCCTGCTCTTCCATATTGCAAGATGTTGTGTATTATTATGTGATTACTATAATAATGGAAACAAGCCGGGTATTTAAGAAGGAAAATGTTGACCCTCTGTATTTTGGGCATGTTTACAAAGGCACCTGGCTGTCTTTAAAATGCGTAAAGAAAGTTTTCACAAAGATGGGAAGGGTGTGGAGCAGGTAAAGAGCTGACTGCCTCGCATGCTGTGGAAGCACATGAAGGCTGGATGCTGGCATTCCTCGAAGCTTCGAAGGGCTGGGCCACGTGGGCTAGACCACTTCACACGTAGGCCTCCTGGCCCCAGGAGCCTTGTCAGTGACCTTCCCTGTCATGAATGTTCCCTTGTAATGAAAGCTGTCTGTGAGAGACCTGTGGTGAGAATGCAGTGACCCTCAGCCTTCACTGGTGTTCTGGTAACAGGTCTGTGGTGCTTGCTCCTCGGCAGCCTCGCTGCCAGCCTACCCTGCTGGACCTCCTGGTTTTTCTGAGCTCAGCTCCTGCCTTTGCCTCCCCAGGAACCTGGTTTCTGACAAGCAAGACTCCCTGGCCCAGTGTGCGGACTTCAGGAGCAGCCTGCCTCCCCAGGACGCCATGCTGTGCTCGGGACCCTTAGCCATAGTCCAGGGCCGTGCCTCCACGTAGGTAACCCAAGTGCCAGGAGAGGCGACTGGGTTGTGCAAGTACAGTCCCACGCAGGCCAGCTCTCTGACTGCTGTCCCCTGTGCTCAGCTGCTGCTCAGCACAGGCAGACTGTAGGTGCCAAGAGTTTGGGGCCCACATCAGATAATTTCTCAGGGTGCTGGATGCAAGCCCTGTTACTTCAGGGCCCAGATGCAGTTTGAGGTGCCACGGGTCATGGGCACTCATGTATTTTGGTTGGGGGTCTGTCACCTTAGGGGTCTAAATGGGAGGTACAGAGTGGGGTACAACTGGGGTGCCAGAGCATCCAGGACTTCTGCAGCTGAGACATGGAGATGGGTAGGCCAGTGTGGAGACTGGCATCTGCCCCCCTGCTGGCTTCTTGCTGGTGCCCTGGGGTGCATGGTGGCAGCCTCCTGCCCACACAGTACCCACTGCCTCATGATGTGTTTCTGCAGTTCAGGGAGGCAGGCGGCCCGGCTTTTCTCCGTGCCTCACGTGGTGCAGCAGGAGACGACCCTGGCCTACCTAGAAAACCAGGTGGCAGCAGCACTCACCCTGCAGTCCAGCCATGAGTATCGCCATTGGCTCCTCCTCTACGCACGGTACCTTGTGAACGAAGGTGAGGTCCCTGGTGGTTCCTCCATTCTCCTGGGCCCAGCTCAATCCCTGTCCCAACACAACCCTCCTAAAAGCCTGTGAGTCGGGGAAGAGGTACAGTGGCCTAGGGCTCCCTACGTTCCTTTCTCCCAGTCTGCCATGGTCATCCAAGAGGCCCTAGCCTCCAGTTCCCTGTCAACATGATGGACCCTCAGCCTCCCCACCCCCATCTCCTAGCCTGAGCTGTGATCAGGTCAGCTCAGCAGGCATCCAGCCCATTACAGGCTCCCAGCCCCTGAAGGGAGTGTTCCCTGAGGGCCAGCAAGATTGGCAGCAGGAGGGGGTGAGGGCAGAGGATATGTGGAAAGACATGCAAATGTGATGCTCAGACTTCTGTTCTTCCCTCACACCCTTGGAGCATCAGTGGTCAGTGACCCCAGGGAGCGTGTCTTGCAGCATCCAATGTGCTTGTGCTCCTCTTCCTTTTCTGAGCCCCACATGCCCTGGAAGGGCTGGCCTGCTGTCCAGCACCTCCCCTTGTCCCTGCAGCCTCGCTTTCCCTGCCAGGGCTCTCAGCACCTGCATCTCCTTCCCAGTATATGCCCACCCACACTTGCCCTGTTGTTCAGCAGAAAGCAAGGTGTGTTACAGGAAATGACCATCCTGTTCTTAGGGGGACCTCCCAAAGCCTCTCATCCTCTCTGCTAGGCAAGCATGGAGTCTGCCTTACCAGTCTTCCTTCTGCTTGAACATGGCCTCCAGAGATGGGGCCTGGGAACTGGCCCTCCCTAAGTTCTCCCTGTGTCACCATGCAGGTTACTGAGCAGCCTCCCCCACAGCCTCTCCTGGCCTTGCTTTGCTTTTGACATCACCCTCTCCATTTTGTTTATGATTTAGAGGGTAAAAATGAAGTCTAGAAAAGACAGGGGGGAAAAAGGTCAAACCTCTACAAATTTTATTCCCAGAATTTGTATGTCATGTTTCCTCTGATGCAACATGTTCTATATACCTTGCAATCCTATATGATAAAAGGGTAATATGCAAATTGACCGAACGGCAGAACGACCAGTTACTATGACGTGCACTGACCACCATGGGGCACGCGCTCAATGCAGGAGCTGCCCCCTGGTAATCAGTGCACTCCCACAAGGGGAGCACCGCTCGCTCGCCCACAAGCCGGCCGATGGCTGGCTAGCAAGCACAGCAGCGGTGGTGGTGGGAGCCTCTCCGCCTCTGCGACAGCGCTAAGGATGTCCGACTGATGGCTTGTCAGACATCCCCTGAGGGCTCCTGTGTCCTGCTAAAAGGCACAGGCCGAGCTGAGGAACACCCCCCTCCCCTCCGAGTGCATGAATGTCGTGCACCGGGCCTCTAATAAACACACACACACACACACACACACACACACACCTCTGAGGACAAGCATGACTGACCAACTCAAAGCCCCTCTCCCTTCCCCAACAGACTCCAGTAATGAGTTTGATATTTACTCTCCAGTCTGTGTGGTCGCCCAGCATGTGTGGTCACTGGCATTTCTAAATATTCAGTCTTCGCAAGCCCTCCCCCTTTTCTGGGATGCTCCTCACACCCCATTCTGCTGGGGAAATGCCTCCTCCGGCTCCTCCGGTTTCCTTCATCCTGGCTGTTGATCCGGACTCACCCTGATGCCCTGCATAAAGCCACTGCCTCCTCTGGGGCCTGCACCCCTTTGTGAAATCACTTCTGCCGCTTGCTCCTCTTCATCTTTCACGTGTCTGTTCCAGTGTCCATACATAAGTCACCTCCTCTCTTTATCCCTTGCTTCCTAACTGTAAAAGGAGAACTCAAGTTTTAATAGGAGACCCCTTTCCTTGAAATTCCTCAGATTCCAGCTTCATCCTCTTATTTCCACTCTCATCTTTGGGTGATTTCATCCATTTCCTGTGGCTTCAGCTGCCCCCAGTGCCTACAGACTCCAGACCTGCCTCTGGCATTTCTGGCATAACACTTGGCTGTGCCCATAACCCTTAACTTGATAGGCCCATGCCTGCTTCTCCTGTCTCTGCTTAGTCACCACCTCCTCAATCTAAACTCATCCCCTCGCCATCTCTTACCTGCTGACCCTGCTGATCTCCTCTCACACTGGCTGCCAAGATGTCTTCTCTCACATCTGACGAGCCCTCTCCCCTCCTTCTACAATTTCCCATAACCGTGGGGGGTCCATCCCAAAACTGGCCACATCTCGTTTTTTCTCGTTGGCCCAGCACACAGAGGGGCCACTGCATGCATTGTCAAGGGAGTAGGTGAGTGAGTGAGAATCTGTCATTATGGGTCTCAGTGCCCCAAACTGAGAGGCATGCGAGAGGCATTTTGCCCATCATAGGCAACACAGTAAGCCTTTGTTCAGTCTGTTTTGATATACCCAACAACTTAGCATATTCTTGATTTTTTATTTCTTTTTGTAATGTGTTCCTATTTCTGTTTTGTTTTGTTTTGTTTTTGTTCTTTTCTTTTTTTCTGTAATTAGGGTTTGAATACCGACTCCGAGAAATATGCAAGGACTTACTGGGTCCGGTTCACTACTCCACTGGAAGCCAGTGGGAGTCAACGGTAGTGGTAGGTGCTTCTTTCATTCTTGCCACAAGAATTCTCTTGAAAAGTGAAGGTGGAAATTTAAAAAGTAAGCCAAAGTACTTTGAAATTCTTCCTCATTAGATGTCTATAGCACAATGCCTTGGGTCCCAGCATCAGTGAGCAGGTGAGATTCCTGCACTGCACAATCCAGCAAGAGCTGGGCCCTCAGCATGAGACCTCAGGGGGTTCAGCCATGCACTTGTGCTGAGGAAAGCTGCCTGCGCAGGGCTGTGGGTTTGTTCAGGAATGAAGGTGAAAGATCCTTCCCTCCCTCATGGAGCTTGCAGTCTGGTAAGGAGGCAGATCTAAGCCAGTGGGCAATTTAGTCAACAAGAAAGGTTTAGACATGGATTATGCTTAGAAGGAAATGAGCAGATCAGTCAGACAAGCATGCCTGGGAAAGGGTGACAGGGAAGACCTCAGAAGAGGACTTGGAGGATGAGCCAGCTCTGCAGAACCCTGGGGGGAGTTTCCTGGGGGAGGTGGTAGTACCTGCAAAGAGGGCTTGGTACATCGAGGCCACTGTGACTGGGACATAATAGGCAGAAGAGAGGGTGATAAGAGATTAGGCAAAAGAGGTGAGCAGGAAGACCAGTCAGCAGAGGTGATATGAGCTGACATAGAAGACCAATCAGCAGAGATGATGTGACCTGATATAGAAGACCAGTCAGCAGAGGTGACATGAACTAACATAGAAAACTGGTCAGGCCAGACAGCGTGAAACAGTGGTTGAGCATTGACCTATGAACCAGGAAGTCATCACAGTTCAATCCCCAGTCAGGGCATATGCCCGGGTTGTAGGCTTCATCCCCAGTGTGGGGCGTGCAGGAGGCAGCCAATCAATGGTTCTCTCTCATCATTGATGTTTCTCTCTCTCTCTCTCTCTCTCTCTCTCTCTCTCTCTCTCTCTCTCTCTTCCTCTCTGAACTCAATAAAAATACGTTTTTTTTAAAAAAAAAGAAAAGAAAACTGATCAGGGCTTGTTTTTTGTGGGGGTTTTTTGTTTTGTTTTTTCAAAAGTTCTGGCAATAGATGCAGGTGACTTGGATCAATATGATGGCTATCAAGAGGGAAAAGAAAACAGATTCAAGATGTGTTTTGAAGGCAGAACAAAAAAAGACTTGGTGTTTGGGTGGTTGGATATGGAGTAGGTGAGGAAAAGAGAAAAATGAACGAGTGGTCAGCTCAAGGTTCTTTTGGCTAGTGTATTGATTGAATTGGAAAAGGAGCAGGTTGGTGAGGAATGGGAGAAGTTGTGGGTCCAAGAGTTAGCTTCAGTGCTTCATTCAGTCACTGAGCAAAGACTGATGGAGCACCTTCTCTGGCCAGGCATAGTCTAGGCACAGGGCAGGCAGCAGTGACTAAGGCTGACAGGGGCCCCACCTTTATGATCTTCATTCTTGTGGAGAGAGGCAGATTCAAAACAAGTGAACAAGTACATACAAAGTGTTGGGTGGGGGTGGGTGCCATGGAAAAAATATATATAGGGCAGGGGGTAGGGAGTACTGGCAGGATGCAATTTTATATATTGGGTGATCAAGGAAGACCTAATTGACTGAGCAGAAATCGGAAAAGGTGAGAGATGAAGCCCCACAGATATTTGGGGAAAGAATATCCAGGCAGAGGAAACAGCAAGTATAAAGGCCCTGAGGTTGGGGTTGGGCGTCTTGCAGCATAAGAGGAACAGCTGAGCAGAATGGCAGTGGGAGAGTCAGTCTCACGAGGTTCTAAGACCTTGGTGTATACTTGGCCTCCTCTACTTTTTATTCCCTTTTTAAAAAAATATTTTTTATTGATTTCAGAGAGGAGGGGAGAGGGAGAGAGAGAAATACCAAAATTGAGAAAGAACCATTGATCAGCTGCCTCCTGCATGCCCCGCACTGGGGATCGAGCCCACAACCCAGGCATGTGCCCTTGACTGGATTCGAACCCGGGACCTTTCAGTCCACAGGCCAACACTCTACCCATTGAGCCAAACCAGCTAGAACTCCCTTTTTATTATGTTACAATAGATCTTAATTTGGTTGGCTAATAAAATCTTAGAGCTTTGAAGGTATTATGCTATGCCACAGACTTTCATCATCCACTATTGTTGCTAAAAACTGCCAGGAATCTGATTTCCATTGTTTTGTAAATTATTTTAGGATCGACCCTTACTTGGTGTTTTGAAGTTTCACAAAGCTCTAAGTCTATGTCTTTCATTCATTCTGTGTATTTTCCTAGGTTCTCTTTGATTATATTCCATTTTCTCCATCATGAGAAATATAATATCCTCTCTTTGGAATCTGTTATATTATTTTTATAGTTGCAGTTCTCCCCATATTTTCATTTTAGTCTTTTATCTACTTGAGCATTGTTCTACTATGAGGAGCCCTTATAGATCTGTTTCTATTTCCTATAAATATTTCTGCTAGTTCTCATTTATATTGTCTTACCTCCTTATGTGCCTGGTTGGTTTTGACTGTCTGCTAGACTTGGTATTTGAATGATTATTTGTAGAAGTGTTTTGAAGCCTCAGTAATGTTATCTTCTTCAATAGAGCACTTTTATTTGGTCTTGGCCCTAGCCCTACAAGGCTCCCTCAACCAATTCAGGGATTGAAGTCTTCTGGGCTACCTGGGGACTCAAAGCTGGGTACTAATTAGTGCACGGACTGGTTTACTACCAGTCTACCCTTATTCTAGAGTGCATTTCTTTGGAGACTAGCACAAAGGAAGGGTGATTTATCAGGGACCCCACTTTTCATGAGTCCTATGCCCCTGCTTTGGTCCCCCTAAGCCCTCAAGTCTAATAGATGCTCTGCTCAGCCTCTTCCTCATCAATGAGTGTTCCCAAGCCCTAGCCAGTTTGGCTCAGTGGATAGAGCGTTGGCCTGCGGACTGAAGGGTCCCAGGTTCGATTCCCGGTTGGGGCACATGCCCGGGTTGTGGGCTCAATCCCCGTGAGGTGTGCAGGAGGCAACCAATCAATGATTCTCATCATTGATGTTTCTCTCTCTCTCTCTCTCTCTCTCTCTCTCTTCCTCCCTCCCTCTCCCTTCTTCTCTGAAATCAATTAAAATAAAATAAAAAAATAAGTGTTCCCAAGGCAAAGGTGTTTCTCTCTGGATTTTTACCTTCTCCACACTCCAGCTCAATCCACTAGCACTTGAGCTCTCTGAGGTCTGTTTCTCTTTGTCCAGCTTTGTCCCCTTTCTCGGTGGGAAAGGTTTTTCTGAATTCCCTATAAGAACACCTCACCTCTAGGCAGCCTGATGGGCTATCTGCTGAGGTGGGAGACAGGTAGGCCAGTGCCCAACCAACCACTCCTGTGGGGCTTCACTCTGGGAGCCTTAGGGCAAAATGTCAGCAAGAGCTCTACGTCACAGTTCTCTGTCTCAGCCTGAAGGTAAGCCTTCTAGGCTAGTGTGGTCAGGCAGAAGGGAGCACAGACAGGCCACTGATTCACGGCCATGCACTCTCCCTGCCTCCTCCTCCCGGCTGGTGGTTTTTGCTATCTCTAAGTAGGATGCCTTATTAGGGATTTGCCCAGGAGAGTCTGTGGCTTCCTTCCTAGAAGCACTGTCAGTGTGGTCCCACTTGCTTTTCCTGTAAACTGCTTAAAATAGCTGGTCTGCTCATAGTGCGTGGGCAAATCCATGACAAAATTTCTAGAAATTGCTTTGTGGGAATTCTTATATATTAGGGAAATTACTCTTTGTGATATGAGCTGCTAGTATGCCTCCAAAGATCCAGGCTTCTTTCCCTCAAGGATCATGACTCAGTGTGCATAGGAGGGAGGTGGAAACAGAGGGTTGAGGCACTAAGCAGCCATCTTTCAGGTGCCTGAGCTCTGTGCTCACCACTGTCTCTTCAGCCAGGGCCTATTGGAAGCCCCCTCTGCAAAGGTCTTTATTGTAGGACCTGTGTCATTGGCCAGAGAGAGGGTGATGAGCTGTTTCCAGGCTGCCGCCTGAAACAGTGAGGAGCATCACCTATTCCTGAGCCCTGGGTAGGAGATGATACTTGATGGCTGTTGGTATTGAAACCAGCCTTCAGGCCAGAAGGTAGATCCTCTTGTAGCTTGGCCCTGGTGCTATAGACCATCTGACATTTTTACTTTGCTAATAGCAGTTTATTTGATATCCTTTCATTTTCTTAAATAGAGTTTTTCAGGTTTTAATTTAATTTTTTTTTTTTTTTGGTTTTTTTAATTTCTTAGTGATTTTTTTTTTAATTGATTTCAGAGAGGAAGAGAGAGATAGAAACATCAATGATAAAAGAGAATTGTCATCAGCTGCCTCCTGAACACCCCACACTGGGGATCAAGCCCACAACCCAGACATGTGCCCTGACCAGGAATTGAACCTTGACTTCCTGGTTCATAGGTTGAAGCTCAGCCACAGAGCCACACCAGCCAAGCCCAAACTTTTTTTATTAGAGACCAGAGAATAAACATTTCAGGCTTTGCAAATCCATATGATCGCTTACAACTACTCAACTCTGCGTTGTAGCATAATATGTAAACAAATAGGTAGGATGGATTTGGCCCAAGCCAATTCACAATCTACATGAGATCTGTTATTTTGTTGAGGTTTGCTTTTAGAGCAGTTTTTCATATTTCCATGTGTGCCAAAGAAGAATTTGTGTTCTCTAGTTCTGAGTGCCTTAATGTCCTAATGGTCATGTTTACGGAATGTTTGGTTTGAATTACCTGAATTACCTTTCTGGACACATCCCTAATGGAGTGTGTATTAAAATCTCCCTGTAAGCGTAGTTTTGTCCCTCTCTCCTGACTTTCTCTTTTTCCAAAGATGTTTTTGTTTCAAACTCTACTTTGATAATTGTAAAGCACACACTTTTTTTTTTTAAGACCAACATAAACTTTAGCAAGAGGTTGATCACATTACTTTTCATATCTCTTTTAGCATCATCTCTATTTATTTCTTCTTAATTTTGAGTACTTTCTAGAACTTTTTCAGGGTGGATCTTTACTGTGGTAAACATTCTGAGGTCTTACAAGCCTAAGATTATTTTTTATTACATCCTCTTACATGAATAACTGTTTGGCTGGATGAAAAAGTAGATTGAGTTTTTCCCCAGTATATTTAAAATACTACTTTATTAAAAAAAAAAAAAATACTACTTTATTGTGCCTCTTGGTATCTCTTCCTTTGTAGTGATATGCTCTTGTTTTTTAAAACTTTTCAGAATTTTTTTGTGTTTGATATCCATAGATTCTGTGTATTTCATTCTAATGTATCTAAAATACCTTTTTTTTATATACATCAGCACTCAATGAAGCCTTTCAACCTAAGACAGTTCCTTTTTCTTTAATTGTGTGAAATCTATCCATATTATTTCTTCAAATATTTCCTTCTCTCTTTTGTGTCTCTCTCCTATGGGACTCATGTAGATGTTGGGCCCATTTCCATACTTCATCTGCCCTTACTTTGTCTTACAGTCCTTCCCTTACAGTTTCCCCTCTGCAGGCCTCCCTGCTCGAGCACTGGCTGCTCTTCCATCTGACCCACTTGACTCGGTCTTCAGCAGGGTCCATTCTCCTGCTAATTCCATCTCCTTTAACCACTGTATTGCTCAAACTTAATCCCTACACTTTGTTCTTTTCTGTAATTCTTTGTGTTGTTACCATGCTGCTTTAACATTTGGACCTTCTCTTCTAATGGTCAATATTTTTGGTTAGTGGTTTTCCCTTTGCAGCAGCTGTGCTCCTCGGGGTTCTGTACAGTGGAGACCCTGCCTGGCAGTGCATGTTGCAAAGCGTCCAGGCAGACCTTGGTGCCAGTGCACCTGGGCATGGAGGAGGTGTGGGCAAGAGCCAAGGGCAGACCCTCCCCCAGGACTGTAAAACCAAAGCCAGTCATTGACTCCCAGGTGCCACCTCACCCCTGGGCTTGACCTCAGACCCCTGGAGAGCATATGCATGAGGGAGCAGCCCACCTCAGGTGGCCATCTACCTGTCCCTCTACCCTGATATTCTACTTGCATCCTCCTCTGGAAGGCCAAGCTACTGTGGTCACTGAACAGTGCAGTTGAAGGCTAGTGGTGACTGTGCCAGCAGACTTAGGGGGCACAGACCCACCCTGGTTTTCTCTGCAGTATCCTTGCACTGTGTCCTTTCCCTGCACCCTGCCACCCACCCCACACGCCCAGGTCAGCCTTTCAGCTCTCCCAGGGCTTCTTAGCGTGCAGAGATATTTTTCTCATCCATCTCTGGTTTCTCCAAGGGGTCCCTAGGCATCAGATGGGCAGGCACAAGGGTCTCTGTTAGGCCAGGAAACCACCCACAGTCTAGGTCTCCTCACTGACACTTGCACTGAGCCGTCATTTCTGTGCCCACAGGGTCTACGGAAGAGGGAGCTACTGAAGGAACTGCTGCCAGTCATCGGGCAGAACCTCCGCTTCCAGCGTCTCTTCACCGAATGTCAGGAACAGCTCGACATCCTAAGGGACAAGTAGCCTGCCCACATCTGCCCCAGCTGCAGCCAGGGCAGGGCCACCTCTCACCTCGTCGGGCTATAGTAGGACAAGGAGACACTGGCAGGAGGTGGTCTGTTGCTGCTCCCGTGGAAGGAGGCAGCTCTGCTGGCAACTCGTCCCTCTCTCCAGGACCCCCACGCCGAGCAGGGGCTGGGGCTCCGCCCTGCTGCCCTGGGATCAGAGAGGCACACCGAGACCGACCGTCTTCAGCACGGTCCAGAGGTGGACACTAGCCCCTGCCACTGCAGGTGCCGTGCTGCTTCAGCTATGACGAATGAGCCATTTGTGAAGAGAGAGCCCTGAGATGTATTAGTGTATTATGCAGTCAGTAGACTGACCGAGACCTATGTAAAAGGAAAGACTATTCCAACACAAAGACTATTTTTGTACTAGAATTTGCTAACTTGTAATACGGAATTTTCCTTTTGGCCAATAATCAGGATTTCCCTATAAGTCACTTGAACATTGGTTACTTGTAGGAAAAAATTTAAACTCTAATTATGACAGCTACATTGAAAAATAATTGTACTGAAATTAACTTGTCTATCTTCATTTGGTTTTAATTTTTAAATGTTTGTAAAAAGAGACTGTTTGGGGGGGATAGGGCAGAGGGTGGGTGATTTCTTTTGTAAGTGTAAAATAAATGAACACGCATTGGATACCAAATCATCCTGATTTCCCCTGCCTTTCCTTCAACTTCCACCTTTCTCCCACAACTGTGGATCCCTCCTGAAATGGAGAATGACAGAACATCATAGCCAGAAGGGATCTTTGATGTCATCTTATACCACCACTCCTACCCCAGCCCCTCCTTGTGGAAATTCATTTCTCAAAGGGGAGGTCACTTCCCTGGTCATTCAGCATCTTAGACAGAGCTGGGGCTCTCAGGTTCTTCTTCCAAACCAGCCATTGAGGTCCTTGGTTCTGGCTGGGCTATGCCCCAGGTTCCTGATCATGCTGGGCACCAAGGACTGTGGCAGACTTGCTGATTTCATGGAAGGATATCAGTAAGTAAAGATTCATGTTTTCTGAAGTATTATATCTGGAAGCTGAGAGTTTCTTGGAAAGTGGTCTAAGAAGCTGACCCACAGGAGAGGAGAGAACTAGAATCACAGAATCTTCAAATTTGGTGAGGGCTGGGCACCTTGACCCCTGGGTCATGGACCTCATTGTCACCTCCCTGCCAGCCGTGTGTGATCGTGAATCCGAGGAAGGAGGCCTAGACTCGGGATCAGAAAGCCCAGGCGACTCTGGCCACTGGCACCTCTCTGACTGCTTCCCTGCCTGGAGGCCATCTCCCTGCCTGTCTCATCTGTCTGGTGGCTGGATGAGACCCAGGCACATATGCGTGCCTGACATGGCCAGCACACAGGTGGATGGGGGCATAGACACCTCAAAAGCCAGGCTGCAAGTGTGAACTTTTCTTCAAGGAGTAAGGAACCAAAGATGCTCTGTGGCCAGGCACCTCCCTTAACAACTCTGCAGTGAGACGTTGAGAACTTCGGGCCTACAAGCTACACATGGCTGAAGAACTGACAGGCCTGTCTGGAGTCTGAACCAGCAAAAATCTGGGCCTTACTTTTTAGCTGTCAAATGGAGCTGAGGTTAAGAAAACATGGTTGTGAGAACCAACTGGGATCATGTAGGCAACGTCCTGGCACTTGGCAATGCTCTGTTGAAAACGTTGGCAGTCAGTGTTTTTACACTACTATTTGGACAGGAAGACAAGAAACAAAGTTGGAGACTTCTGCTTTCAGCCGAGATGAGTAAGGGGCCCAGTTGTCCCTCCTGTCTGAAACAACCAAAGGAACAAAATACATGGAACAAATTACTGGTCTTAAGACACTGGTTATCAGAAAACAAAGGACGGTGATCCCTGGGAGATGGAAAACAAACAAGATGAGCCCTACGACTGCAAAAATCGACTATTTTTAGGTGATGGGGCTACACGGATGCTGAAAGGGCAGTCTGCAGAGGTACCACAGGGAAAACCATTTTAATCTGAAAGTGAACAGTCTATTCTCTAACATTTTTGGCTACTAGACTGTAAAGCTATTGTGCAGATAATCGCATCATCGCCGTGGTGTTCATGGTAGAAAATAGCCAGTGAGCAACCTGAAGCATTCAAGAACGATAGCGCTCACTCTGGGGGGGTGCCAACGCAGAATGCCAAAGGCGTCCCCTTCCCTGGCAAACATCTTTTATGCAGCTGAGCCATCCGCATTCAGAACGCATGTTCAAATGGTCCCTCTGAAATCAACTGGCGGCTGGGCAAAGGTGCGGCTTCTAGTTATGGACCTGCCACTATTATGTATTCTTGTGCAACCACAAGCAAGCCAGGCGACCCTCAGTTGGTCATCTGCTGCTAGATGCGATCTTTGCAGACTCTTCACACTGATATTCTGACACAGTATTCTCTAGAAATCCTATCAGCCATGAAGGATGCTTCCTAAAAGAGCAGGTGCTGGGCCTGGGGCAGGAACACATCTGTCACACACACACACACTTGGAAGCCGCCTTTTGGCTTTGGGCATATCTTTGACTGAATTTTAGAAATTGTCCCTGAACCTGCCGGCCGGTGTTGCTCAGTGATTGAGCATCGACCTGGGAACCAGGAGGTCACAGTTCGATTCCGGCCAGAGCACATGCCGGGTTGCGGGCTCGATCCCCAGTGTGCAGATGCAGGAGGCAGCCCAACGATGAGTCTTCATTGATGTTTCTATTTCGCTCCCTTCCTCTCTGAAATCAACTTTCTGAAAAGTGTCCCTGAACCCAACTGCCCAGAAGTTGAGGTAGAATTTATGTAGAGATGCAAGGCCCTAGGCAAGGGCGACCGGTGACTCAGTTTACCTCTCCTGAAAACCCCATCACCCCCCGAACTTGCTGAGGGCAGCCCACACCCGGTCTGGCGCCCAGGCTCACCCGCAGCAAGAGCATGGCCCGGCCCCGGCGCCACCTCCCCGCGCTCGCCGGGTCTCGGGGTGTGGGAAGCGCGACCACACGCGGACTACTTTGCGCGGACTACTTTGCGCGGACCCTCGGCGGAGGGGCGCAGGGGTGCCGCCACCGCCGGCGGCGGATGGAACTCCTGCGGCGGCCGGAGCCAGTGCGCCTGCGCCGCCGCCCCCGCACTTCCCACCCGTCTGTCTGCGCGTCTGCCCGACCGCCCGTCCACGGGGCTGCTCGCGCGACAGGAGCCGCCGCCGCCTCTGCCCCGCGCCCTTCCTCGCGCAGGTCCTCCCCGTCCGCTCCGGGAGCACTTCCAGGTGAGGACCGGCTTCTGCGGGGACCGGCGGGCTCTCGGGCAGGCCGCGCGTCCGCCTGTCAGCCGCGCCCCCCACCCCCCACCCCGTCTCCCTGAGGACCTGGGGGCGCCGCTGACCAGCCCCCGGTTCGACTGACCCCGGTGGGGACGGCGCCGACTCCCGTCGGCTGCGGCGGGCGGCTCGGCATCGGGTCGCGGCGGCCGGGGACGCGGACCGCCAGGTGTGCTGCTCGCGGAAATGCGGTCCCCCCGGCGGAGGGGCGGGGCCGGGGCGTCCGGGCGGCCTCTCTGGGGGCTCCGGGGGTGGGACCCGAAACCCGCTGGCAGGCCTCGTGCCAGTGCGATGTTCAGCCCTTTCCATCGGGTGGCTCAAATTAATTACTAAAATTCTGCGGCACATTCAAAATAGATATATTTTTGCCGACCTGACAACAAAGTAGGTATAACTTTGATTCATCCACACGGGACGGTTGTTGTATTGGCTGTTATTTTATTTTATTTTATATTTTGTTTACAATCTAAGGGAAAAGAAGTCAGTGCCCCTGACTGGTCGGGGGTTGCATGTTTTAAAAATTCTTGTGGGGACACCGGTTGAAAATCGCTGAACCAGACCAGTGGTCGGCAAACTCATTAGTCAACAGAGCCAAATATCAACAGTACAACGATTGAAATTTCTTTTGAGAGCCAAATTTTTTCAACTTAAACTATATAGGTAGGTACATTGTTATTAACTTAATTAGGGTACTCCTAAGCTGGCCTTTGCTAAAAACGTCCTCAATCTGAGGGGTCGACCTCAGCGAACGTACCCCCACTTCTTCTAACGCCACTTCTTCAAAATAGACTCGCCCAGGCCCAAAACCGACTTCTGCGCATGGGCCACGAAGTTTCAATCACACTGTACGTGCGCGCCCAAACGTGGTATTTTGTGGAAGAGCCACACTCAAGGGGCCAAAGAGCCGCATGTGGCTCGAGAGCCACGGTTTGCCGACCACTGAACTAGACTGACTAGAGATGCACATACATTTCTGTCCCAAGCTTCCTAACTCCAAAACCTGCATCCAGCCCTAAATTTCCCCTTCTGTATCTTGTGATCCTTACCCTAGGGTGACTTCAATAGTTGTACACTATTAGGAAGGGGGAAATATAAACTAGTGACTGATAAAACATCCATACTCTTCATTTAAGCTTGTTTTTTCTCCAGATCTTCATTCCCATGCCGTGCATAGAGAAATAATTCTAGACACTGTACATTTGTGAATCGCATTCCAAGAATATTAATATTTTTCTGATTTCAATTTCAGTTTGTTGCATGTGAAAATTCTCAGGCCAGATTTCTCCCCGGAGAAAAACAGTAGTTTTATAATGGCCAGTGGGAAAATAGAAACCAGTGTATGGACATTTTTAGTCTACAGTCACCTTTTTAGGCATGCACCTAGAGCAGAAACTGCACTTTTACATGTAGTGCCTTGTAACACAGCATTCCTTCCATTTCAGTTTAAGATGGGAACAATTTATTAGCTTTATTTATTCCTGTCATACTGGTTTTGAGAGGAGGGCTGGTTCTGCAGAAATATTTTTTCTTATATTATTTGTACTTCTTGAATTTTTTAAAATTTCTCTATTGAATAAGGTATTACATATGTGTCCTTATCCCCCCATGATCCCCCCGCCATCTGTACTTTTTGAACTTTTAAAAAAATTCTGATATCTGAGTTGGAAGGTTGTTGCTGTGTGTGATATCTGAGAATGGAAAAATGCTAAAGGGCTGAGAACTGATGACACCTTGATTCAGAAGAGGAATGGCTAAACCATTCGGTGGCCTAGAAATTCATTTATGAGCCCTAGGGAATTTTCTCCCAGGTATATCAAAAAGCAGCTGCTGGTTTGTAAGAGTTCTGGAATATGGCACAGCTCAATTCACAGAGAACTTATAAACATGTTCCCTTAAGGTTTGATTCTGTAGCATATCTCTTAGATGATGTTCTTAATAGATACAGAGTCTTCTAAGGCAATCTATGCAAATTATAGGAGCAAGGTGGTCACTAGTCTTTTTTTTAAAATATATTTTATTGATTTTTTTTACAGAGAGGAAGGGAGAGGGACAGAGAGCTAGAAACATCAATGAGAGAGAAATATCGATCAGCTGTCTCCTACACATCCCCTACTGGGGATGTGCCCACAACCAAGGTACATGCCCTTGACTGGAATCGAACCCGGGACCCTTCAGTCCGCAGGCCGACGCTCTATCCACTGAGCCAAATCGGCCAGGGCGTCACTAGTCTTAACCAGTGCTTCTCAGGCCAGACTGGACTTTAAAAACACCTACGCAGGCATCTACCTCATGTTAAATCAGAATCTCTAAGAGGTGAGGGTGGGACTTTGGCATTTCTTACCAGATGAGTTTCACATGCAGCTGGGTTGAGCCAATCATCTAGATCAGGGGTCCTCAAACTTTTTAAACAGGGGGCCAGTTCACTGTCCCTCAGACCGTTGGAGGGCCTGACTATAGTTTAAAAAAAAACTATGAACAAATTCCTATGCACACTGCACATATCTTATTTTGAAGTAAAAAAACAAAACGGGAACAAATACAATATTTGTATTTGCATGTGGCCCGCGGGCCGTAGTTTGAGGACCCCTGATCTAGATGTTGGTCATTATTTATCATTAAAGAAAGAGGTTGGTGTTTGCAGCCTTTTACATGTGAGTGGGGAAGGCAGAACTCTAAGGAGTAGCTTGAGCTTGAACTGAAAACAGTTCCTGAGCACCTGTGTCTGCTGTAGAGGCCCCTGGGAAGTCACTCTGAAAGGTGACACTACCCACAGCCCAGTATGTGTTTGTAGCCAATCTCATTTTGTGAAATGGCTTTGGATATACTGAGACAAACAATAGTTTCATTATGTCCTAAAATTGTTGTATATCTATGTAAAACTTTTTTTTTCATTGACCCAAAACTGGAACATTTTATTGAAGTAAAGTAGTTCAGAATCCAGATAGTTTAGTCACTATTACCACTCACTAATACTCATTTCTAATCATCTGTGGCTAATTCATAACCTGTCCAATACTGCTTCTCTTCTACAGCCATTCAGGGGAACATTCACATTCAATTGCATTCCTGCCTGGGTCAGGAGCCCTGCTCCTTACAGGCTTGCTGAAGATGTTGTTAATGCCTCTGTGATGATGACCTTCTCGATCTCTCTCGATGTTTCTAACTCTCTATCCCTCTCCCTGCCTCTCTGTAAAAAATCAATAAAATATGTATTAAAAAAAAAAAAAGAGGCTTGGCCCTCGCAGCCCCGGCTTTGTCTGGAAGGTCCTCCAGAAGGACATCTGGAAGGTCGTTCAGCTGTTTGGTCTAATTAGCATATCAGCTCTTTCTTACATAGGATTGAGGAAAGTAACCACCTGTTCACCATGCGTGTGTGGGAGGGTGAGCCTTTGACAACAGTGGCATGGTGAGTGACCAAATGTTAAATGAATTTGAATAGGGCTTCCTTGGAAAAGCAAGTCATCACTATATAAAAAACTAATTAGCATATTACTCTTTCATTAGTATAGATTACATATGTCTTCTTTTCCCCCCATTGACCTCTAGTCCTAGAATTTTAAGTAAGTTCTGTAAAAGACCTTGGTGTCATCATTCTTCATAGGCCCTCACTTACAAAGCTCTCTCTCTGAGCTAGGAAAAGCTTGCTGGTAAGTTTAAAATACATTTTCTTAAATATATCTTCAGATGAACTAAATCTGACTGCCTAAAACAAGTAACTTCTTTCCTAGTAAATTATTTAACATGCTAGGCACCGGGATAAGGTTGTGAATGAGCCTGAGAAGAAGACAGATACAAAAGGGAAAATAACCAGCGTCTTCAAAGGCAGAGGCATGAAAACATGGGGGATGTTCAGTGCACCAGAGCAGTGTTCCAGCTCTTCCATAGTCAGTTGGTGTTTTCACCAAGAGTCTTGTTTAAACACAGCTGTAACTCTCTCAGATAGACTACTTACTGTCCCTAAGCCCCTTTTTAAATTTTTTATATTTATTTTTTTTATTTGGATCATTTTCACCCGAGGATATTTTTCCCATTGATTTTTTTAAATATATTTTTGTTGATTTCAGAGAGGAAGGGAGTGGGAGAGATAGAAACATCAATGATGAGAGAGAGTCATTGATTAGCTGCCTCCTGCACACCCGCTACTGGGGATCGAGCCTGCAACCCAGGCATGTGCTTTCAACCGGAATTGAACCCAGGACCCTTCAGTCCACAGGCCGATGCTCTATCCACTGAGCCAAACCAGCTAGGGCATCCCCGTTGATTTTAGAAAGAATGGAAGGGAGGGGGAGAGACAGAGAAACATCAGTGTGAGAGAGCCACATCAGTTAGTTACCTCCCGCACATAACCCGACCAGGAATCAAGCCTGCAACAGAGGTACACGCCCTTGACCGGACTCAAACCCAGGACCTTTCAGTCTGTGGGCCAATGCTCTAACCATTGAGCTCAGGGACTCCTACGGGGATGAGGGCTGGGCCTTCCTGGAGCTTGGCACTGCTCCTGTACCCTGTCAGCCCAGAAAGGCAGGGTGGCCAAGCTGTGCATCTGCCTCAGTTGCAGGACGCCATGCAGCACCCTGCAGAGTCAACACCAAGATGGCTGAGAAGTTGCTGCAGTGGTTCCCGGAGGAGGGCGAGCAGGAGTGCTTCGCAGCCTCTCCCTTCACCTGCTACAACCTGCTTCCCCGAATGTGATGTTGGAGCTGGCCTGGAGGCACAACCTGGTAGACCTGGCCATGACCTGCTTCACCCAGGTGATGAGGGAGGACCTTAGCCAAGTAAGTGCCTGCCCTTGTGTGGCTCCTTGGCCCCTGGCTGTGACTCTGGCTCTGGTCTGCAGAGGCCCTGCAGTGTCTGGTTCGAGGCCAGGCCAGATTGCCCAACCAGCCAGGCTGCTGCTGGGAGAAGCCTCTTGCCTTCGCACTTGATTTTCTGCCCAGTGTTATTATTTCTAGAAAATCACCGTGGGGTGGTGGGGAGCTGGATAGAACTGAGCACTTGCCCTTGCAGTTGTTCCACACAGTGGAGGGGGGCTTAAGGGGGATGCAGTGATTTCACCCACCACCAGAGGGCCCAGGGACAACTGGTGTGGGCCAACTACCTCTCAGCACCAGCTATTGGCAATGGGAGGAGCACTTAATAGGAATGTTAACATGGATTTAAGCCTTTAACGCTTTAATGAGGGAAACAGTCATCCCCTCTACAGCTGCAGACACTGGGGTTCAGGTCCAAAGCTGACAGGTGAAGGGGGCGGAGGGTTTAGACACAAGTCTTCCTGGCCCAGAGGCCATACTTATGTCTTGGCACATCACTTCTGCCACTCCAGATATCACTTGGTGTCCCTGGTGTCCCATTCTGGCTTTCTTTGCAGGTTGATGAGCTGTTTAATGAGGTGACAGTGTCTAATTTCAACTCCATGTGTGTCAAAGCCCTAGGAGTCACTGTCTAGGCCAGTGATGGCAAACCTATGACACGCGTGTCAGAGGTGACACGCGAACTCATTTTTTTGGTTGATTTTTCTTTGTTAAATGGCATTTAAATATATAAAATAAATATCAAAAATATAAATCTTTGTTTTACTATGGTTGCAAATATCAAAAAATTTCTATATGTGACACGGCACCAGAGTTAAGTTAGGATTTTTCAAAATGCTGACACGCCGAGCTCAAAAGGTTCGCCATCACCCAAGTTCAGTAGGTGGCTACCTAGCTGTAGCCAATCTCCAGAGACCCCTGTCATCTGGCCCGATTTGTTTCTAAGTCTGCAGAAAAGCAATCGCTCAACAGTGCCTATTTGCCCTTCGAGCCACATTCCTAACCTTCTTCCAGCCAGATGGAGGCCCACAATGCCAACAAGCCACGGGCCAAGGCTTCTTCCAGTGTGCATGGAAGGGAGGAGCCTCCCAGGGTTAGTATGGGGGTTAGGGAAAAACGGAGGGTGTGGGGCCTGGTGCTACCAGCTTTGGCCTGCAAGGGCTTCCTCTGGGCCATCTCAGGGCCATTCAAGGCCATGGCCATGCTGCAGGAGGAGGGACCCACAAAGTGTGCCTTCTTGCTGGAAGGACCCTGGTCCCTGGCCCAGGGTCCCCAGACACCTTCCCTAGTCCTGGAAAGCAGGAGCTGCCATGGTGCCTGCCCTCAGTCCTGCCCCACATGCCTCTGCTGGCCCCCAGCCAGATGCCTTGTCACCTGGTGGGGAGAGGGGGGTGCTCACGAGGGAGTTCTCTGGCAGTGGTAGAGTGTAGCTCAGGGGTGGGCAAACTTTTTGAGTTGGTAAGGAGTGG